CTGGTCCTCCTGGGACTCGTCCATGTACCAGGCCTCCACCATCCCGCCGCCGGGCGCTCCGCTCCGCCGGGCTGGGCCCGCCCCGGCGGGGCTGCAGGGGCCGGGGCAGGGATCGGGATCGGCCCCGCACAGCCAGCCAGCCTATGGGGAGAGCCTTAAAGGGGCGCCATTTGCAACTCAAAATACGCTGAACAGGGTGTATTGTGTAGCAGACACAGCTGTTATTTTAGTGTATAGCTTTAGGCTCAACGGCACAGGTGATGAGAGCTCTCCCTGAAACACATCTGCTAGGGTAAGGGACTTCTCACCCGCACAAGCCCTCTTGGGTAACGTGCTGGTTACAGCACACATCACACCTAACTTCAACAGCAATTTTGTTTACATCTAGCCTGCCCTGGCAGTAATGGTCGAACGGAATTTACCAGTAAGTCTCAGCCTCAAAGACCAACCCACATTGCAACCCCACAATATGGAGAAATAAAAAATAAATTAGGGTAAAAAAAGAAAGTGTGGCAAGACATGCTGCCCAGAAAGCTTGTGTTGTCTCCATCCACGGAGATACTCACATCCTGAGCAACCTGCTCTGGGTGACCTGCTTGTGCTGGGGTGGACAAGATGCACTCCAGCGGTCCCCTCCAGCCTCCATGGTTCTGCAATTCTATACAGTTCCATGATTCTATACAGTAAATAAACCAGCAGCCAGCTAAGCACAATGTAAGGATGGAGAAACAACTGAAAAAGAAACGATCCCTCCTTAAACATTTTTCTTCCTAAAAAAGTTTTATACTTATCAAAATGTTGTCTTAACCACTATTTCTCAGACTCTTAGAAATGTTACCAGATCCCTTTAAGTATAGTATTCAATGTATAAGCACTACTGGTTCTCGATTCTGGATAAAATTTAATTGCAAGTCCCATAACATGCAAGCTGGCGCAATGCTGGCACTGTCCGCATTTTTAGAAGCGCATCCAAATCCATCCAGAAGTTCAGTGCCTATCCACTGAATGTCATGGCTGCTAAATGCCAACACTCTCCTGAAGTTCCAGTTCCCTGAAGAGAATGACTTGAACAGCCAACATCCTCTGTGGGTCCTCCAGCCCCTGTTAAGTCCTGTTGAGAAGTATTATTTGCTTTCCATCCTTTCATCAGCCTTAATCTTGTAACTTTCCTCTCAGCTTTCGTCCTGAATTTCCAGAGTAAGAATGATAAACATTGGTATCAAACTAACATAAAACTCCTTCCTATTAGATTTCCTATTATAATTTACCTATTAGATTCAGGTAGTAAAGTTGCTTAAATTCAGTATTACACTGATGTTATGATTTACTCACCATTATCTACACTTCTTTTCCAAAGCTGCTCCTTCAAAAAAATACAGATTTCCATACAATAAATAGGATCTACATGTTTAACTGGAGATGTATGATAGGCAGATTATTAGATGCCACCTCTTCAGTACATTGTTTGTCACACCGTTCTGCCTCAACTAGAGATCTGATCAGGGATGATGGGGTGTTTTCCTTCAAGCCAAACTTCTAAAATAAACGAACAGATGGATAACATATACAAAAGAAGATGTGCACATATACAAAAGGAGAGGAGAAAATCTAATCAGTGCACTACCTTACCCCTAGATGAGCTTTACTGTGCAGTTTTGGATGAGAGAAAACAAATTAGAAAAACCTTACTCATCTATTAACTACTAGGTAGCCAGTTTCCTCATTCTATCACAATTCATGTGATTCTAAATAAAATACATAAGAACCCATACTTTGCTTCAATGAAGATACTGCAGTGCATGAGAACTATTAAGAAATAAAGCTTCAGCAGCTCTACCATTCTGTGTAGCAATTTACAAATACAAAAAAAAAAATTCAGTGGCTTCTAGCTTAAGCCCTACTATTCAATGGTATGAAGGTACCTTACAAAGAAGTTGACAAAGATAACATGCCAAACCTGTTTGCTCTTCCCAGATAGATGCATAGAAAATAAAACTATGTTGATTACTGGTAATTGCTCTAATTCAAGTGCACATTAGCCATTCCATTAATCTCATCGACTGGAAAAAAAAAAAATGAAGTCAAACACTTGACATCCGGAAGATCTGGAGAAGCTGATCATCTTCTAGTTCCATTTCAGATAAAAAGGCCAATTATTACTGTTGGGACAGCACTGAAGAGGAACTAACAACGCTAATGAGAAGCAGTATGCACAAAAAATTACTTAATGGAAACAGGAAGCCAGAAACAAAGAGCTTGGACATTAAGCAGCTAGAGAGAGGAGAACAGTAACAATTCATTGCTCAAGTTTTCTTGTGACCTGGCTTTTTAGTTTGTTCATGCTACCTTGCAAAGTAAGTAACATTATAAAGAAATCTACAGATGCTTTAACCGATGATACTGTGAGGCACAGGTGAGCGCTACAAGCCCATCTGTGGAGCGGTTATTGCTAGTACCAGAACGCCAAAGCATATTAATGGACATCTCCATGTTAGATCACTGACCTCTTACCAAACCAACCAACCCCAAAGCCCCCCCACCCCCAACTGTTTTGGGCTGTTAATATATACCTCTGTACAAAAAATTAATTTATTTCACTAAGAGGAAAATACAGAACACTTAGGATAAAGATTTATTATTACTTCTTCAGAAGTCTGTCTTTACAGTGAATTCAGAAGTCTACAAGACAGCTAAAAACACTGACCACGGCCCTTCAGTAAGATGGAGAAAAACCAAACACTCTGTATCATCAACTAAATATTGACTCGATTGTGAAACAAACACTATAGAAGAAAACGTGGGTTTTTTCTCCCCAGAAGTTGGTATATGTTTAACACTTCAGGCCAGAAGGAAGTACAGTTCAAAGTTCAACTCCGAAACAACTACAGCAGTTCAAGTTGTCACTGTGGTGTTGGTCCTTTTCCTCCCACTGCAACAGTCTCTAGTCCCAGTACGTCAGGACTTCGGTTTACTAGCTCCTTCTCTTGCTAGTCTATCAGCTTCTTCATTTCCTTGGAAGCCAGCATGACCAGGAATATGCATCTGTTAGGACAAAAGTACAGGAGCGTTAGATATGCAAGAAATCAAGAAAAAAGTACATACATGAAATCTGATCACGCAACACCCTTTCATTCATAGTACAGTAGCACCTCCTTAGAGGCCCTCTCCTCACATTTAGTCCTTATGTGTTCTTTCCAGGAATGTTCATAGCCTCCCTTCCTCTAAGAAAGTCTTGCAAATTGTGAAAATCATCTTTATGGGAAGCAGTGAACTGGGTAAGGACCACCTAACCCAGCCTTTAAGAAATGCAGTCAACAGCTCCAACTCAAAATTCCCACTTTCAGAGAAGAGAGAAAAAACTATCTGCATTCAGTGCTTAAACCAAGTTAATCTTTTTTCCAGAAAGCCAGAGACCTCTATGCCACTAACAGCCTTGGTGGTTACAGCACTCACTTAGGACACAAGAATAGGGTATGAAAAGAATCTCTCAATTTTCAGATGTCTTAACTGTCCATCCTTCAATTAGGAACTGAAAACACTTTCAACCCTAAGCCCATCCTTGTCACAAGTAAGGGTGGAGGAGCGTGGGGGAAGAAGGAGAGGAAGAAAATCAAGCTTGCTATTTGACAAGATCTGAGAGGGGACAAGCATGAGGTGTGTGCGAGATGGCATTGGGTTTACATGGCAAGGTTTTGGTACCAGGTGGGGGGTTGCAGGGGTGGCCTCTGTGAGAAGACACCAGGGGCGGCCCCCGCATCGGAGAGAGCCAGTTCCAGCTGGCTCCAAAATGGACCCACTGCAGGACACAGCTGAGCCCATCAGCAAAACCAGTGTCTCCTCTGTGGTAACACATTTAAGAAAGTGTAAAAATGCTGCACAGCAGCTGGAGAGAGGAGTGAGAATATGTGAGAGGAACAGCCCTGCAGACACCAAGGTCAGTGAAGAAGGAGGGGGAGGAGGTGCTCCAGGCACCAGAGCAGAGATTCCCCTGCAGCTTGTGGTGAAGACCATGGTGAGGCAGGTCGTCCCCCTGCAGCCCATGGAAGTTAACGGTGGAGCAGATATCCACGCGCAGCCCGTGGAGGACTCCACACCTCAGCAGGCAGATTACCATAATAAAGTGTATGCATACATTGCTCCTCCTGAAATAAAAATCTTCCCAAGTTTAAGAGATTCAGGTGTAAGAAGTGTGCATAAAGCAACATATTTTTTTTATTACGTAAAATACTCTAAGGACAGCTGAACTTTGGTCTTAGTTTTAAATTTTTACACTTTCTTCTCCTCAATAGACAATAGGAGTAGCTATATAAAATCTAGTCAGCCTTTAAATTGGAGTCACCAACTCTGAAACACAGAACAAAATGAATCATAGAATCATTAAGAAAAGACCTCTAAGATCATCGAGTCCAACCATCAACCCAACACCACCATGCCCACTAAACCATGT